GGGGAGGGGAAAGTCCCAAAAATTTGGGTAAAAAAATCCCCAAAAATTTGGTAAAAAATCCCCAAAATTTGGGTAAAAAATCCCCAAAATTTGGGAAAAAATCCCCAAAAATTTGGGAAAAAAATCCCCAAAAATTTGGGTAAAATCCCCCCCCAAAATTCAATTTTTCCTCCCCAAAATCTCCCCCAAAATTCCATTTTTTCTCCCAAATTCCCCCCAAAATCTTCCCGAAATGCCCCCAAAAATTCAATTTTTCTTCCTAAAATCCCCCCCAAATCCCCCAAAACCCCAAAATTCTCCCAAAATTCCCCAAAATCCTCCCAAAATTCAATTTTTTCTCCCAAAATTCCCTCAAAATCCCCCCCAAAATCCTCCCCAAATCCCATTTTTCCTCCCAAAATCTTCCCAAAATTCAATGCTTTCGCCCCAAAATGGCCCAAAATTCCCCAAAAATCCAATTTTTCCACCCAAAATTCCCTCAAAATCCCCCAAAATCCTCCCAAAATCCAATTTTTTCTCCCAAAATTCCATTTTCCCTCCCCAAATTCCCATTTTTTTCCCCCCAAAATTCGGATTTTTCCACCCAAAATAAAGGAGCCGAGAGCCCAAAATTCCAGAGTTTTTTTCCTTTATTGGGGGAGGGGCCCCCGATTTTCCCAATTTTTTGGGGGGGAAAAAAAAAAAAATCCCAAAATTTTCCCATTTTTGGGAGAAAAAAAAAAAACCCAAATTTTTCCCAGGAATTTTTGGATTTTTTTGGAATTTTTTTGGAATTTTTTGGGAATTTTTTGGGGAATTTTGGGGATTTTTTGGGAATTTTTTGGGTTTATTTTTTTTATTTTTTGGAGAATTTTTTTGGATTTTTTGGGAAATTTTTTGGGGGGATTTTTTTAGGATTTTTTGGGAATTTTTGGAGGGAATTTTTGAGAATTTTTTGGGGATTTTTTTGGGAATTTTTTGAGATTTTTTGGGAATTTTTTGGGACTTTTTTGGGGATTTTTGGGGAATTTTTTGGGAATTTTTTGGGAATTTTTTTGGGGATTTTTTTGGGAATTTTTTGGGATTTTTTGGGGGAATTTTTTGGGATTTTTTTGGGATTTTTTTGGATTTTTTTTGGATTTTTTGGGGATTTTTTTGGGATTTTTTTTGGGATTTTTTTGGGATTTTTTTGGGATTTTTTTGGGATTTTTTTGGAATTTTTTGAGATTTTTTGGGAATTTTTTGGGACTTTTTTGGGGATTTTTGGGGAATTTTTTGGGAATTTTTTGGGATTTTTTTGGGATTTTTTTTGGAATTTTTCGGGAATTTTTTGGGAATTTTTGGGATTTTTTGGGATTTTTTGGGATTTTTTTGGGGGCGTCTCCCCCCCGTTTGTGGCGGGTGGGGGAGGGGCTGCCGGCAGCTGAGGAGGAAGAGGAGGAGGAGGATGAAGGCTCCTCCCTCCACGGCGAGGCCGAAGGCTCCAGAGGAGGAGGAGGAGGAGGAGGGGGGATCCCAACCCCCGAGGCCGAAGGCTCCAGAGGAGGAGGAGGAGGAAGATGAAGGCTCCTCCTCCACGGCGAGGCCGAAGGCTCCAGAGGAGGAGGAGGAGGAGGAGGAAGATGAAGGCTCCTCCCTCCCTGGCGAGGCCGAAGGCTCCCAGGAGAGCAGCAGGAGGAGGAGGAGGACGACGAAGGCTCCCAGGAGGAAGAGGAGGGGGATGAAGGCTCCGGAGGAGGAGGAGGAGGAGGACGATGATGATGATGAAGGCTCCGGAGGAGGAGGAGGAGACTCTTCAATCCATGGCGAGGCCGAAGGCTCTCAGCAGGAGGAGGAGGAGGATGAGGATGATGAAGGCCCAGGAGGAAGAGGAGGACGATGAAGATGAAGGTCAGGATGATGATGAGGATGAAGATGAGGATGAAGGTCAGGATGAGGATGATGAGGATGATGAAGGTGAGGATGATGAAGGTGAGGATGATGATGATGAAGGTGAGGATGATGAGGATGAGGATGATGACGGTCAGGATGATGATGATGATGATGATGAAGGTGAGGATGATGAGGATGAAGGTCAGGTGATGATGATGATGATGATGAAGGTGAGGATGATGATGATGAGGATGATGAGGGTCTCAGCCGATGGTGAGGCCGAAGCCGCAGTGGAATTTCTCCTTCCGGTGGTTGATGAGGATGATGAAGATGATGAAGATGAAGGTGAGGATGATGATGATGATGATGATGATGAAGGTCTCAGCCGATGGTGAGGCCGAAGCCGCAGTGGAATTTCTCCTTCCGGTGGTTGATGAGGATGATGATGATGATGATGATGATGATGAAGATGAAGGTGAGGATGATGATGATGATGATGATGATGATGATGATGAAGGTCTCAGCCGATGGTGAGGCCGAAGCCGCAGTGGAATTTCTCCTTCCGGTGGTTGATGAGGATGATGAGGATGATGAAGGTGATGAAGATGAAGGTGAGGATGATGATGATGATGATGATGATGATGATGATGAAGGTCTCAGCCGATGGTGAGGCCGAAGCCGCAGTGGAATTTCTCCTTCCGGTGGTTGATGAGGATGATGAAGGTGATGAAGATGAAGGTCAGGATGATGATGAAGATGATGAAGATGAAGGTCAGGATGATGATGAAGGTGAGGATGATGATGATGATGAGGATGATGAAGATCTCAGCCGATGGTGAGGCCGAAGCCGCAGTGGAATTTCTCCTTCCGGTGGTTGATGAGGATGATGAGGATGATGAAGGTGATGAAGATGAAGGTGAGGATGATGAGGATGATGATGATGATGATGATGATGATGATGAGGGTCTCAGCCGATGGTGAGGCCGAAGCCGCAGTGGAATTTCTCCTTCCGGTGGTTGATGAGGATGATGATGATGATGATGAAGGTCAGGATGATGATGAGGATGATGATGAGGATGATGAAGGTGAGGATGATGATGATGAAGGTGAGGATGATGATGATGATGAGGATGATGAGGGTCTCAGCCGATGGTGAGGCCGAAGCCGCAGTGGAATTTCTCCTTCCGGTGGTTGATGAGGATGATGAAGGTGAGGATGATGAAGGTGAGGATGATGAAGATGATGAAGATGAAGGTCAGGATGAGGATGATGAAGGTCTCAGCCGATGGTGAGGCCGAAGCCGCAGTGGAATTTCTCCTTCCGGTGGTTGATGAGGATGATGAGGATGATGAAGGTGATGATGATGAAGGTGAGGATGATGATGAGGATGATGAAGGTGAGGATGATGATGATGAGGATGATGAGGATGATGAGGGTCTCAGCCGATGGTGAGGCCGAAGCCGCAGTGGAATTTCTCCTTCCGGTGGTTGATGAGGATGATGAGGATGATGAAGGTCAGGATGATGATGATGAGGATGATGATGATGATGATGATGAGGATGATGAGGGTCTCAGCCGATGGTGAGGCCGAAGCCGCAGTGGAATTTCTCCTTCCGGTGGTTGATGAGGATGATGAGGATGATGAAGGTGATGAAGATGAAGGTGAGGATGATGATGATGATGATGAAGGTCAGGATGATGATGAGGATGATGATGAGGATGATGAAGGTGAGGATGATGATGAAGGTGAGGATGATGATGATGATGATGAAGGTCTCAGCCGATGGTGAGGCCGAAGCCGCAGTGGAATTTCTCCTTCCGGTGGTTGATGATGATGATGAGGATGATGATGATGATGAAGGTGAGGATGATGAAGATGATGATGATGATGAGGATGATGATGATGATGAGGGTCTCAGCCGATGGTGAGGCCGAAGCCGCAGTGGAATTTCTCCTTCCGGTGGTTGATGAAGGCTCCCAGGGCCAGCGTGAGGGGGAGGGGCGGCAGCTTCTTCTCCAGCACCGCCCCCACCTGCCAGGAGCTGTCCAGGGAGCCTGGAAAATTCCCAGAATTCCCAAACTTTTCCCGGGAACTCTTCCCAAATTTGGGGAAATTTCCCGAAATTTTGGGAATTTTTCCCGAATTTTTTTTTATTTTTTTTGGGGATTTTTTTCCCATTTTTTTTGATTTTTTTTCCCATTTTTTTGAAGTTTCTCCCGGTTTTTTTTTTAGCCCCTCCCGTCCTTTCCCGATTTTTTGGGGGGTTTTTCCCAAACTTTGGGATTTTTCCCAAATTTTGGGATTTTTCCCAAATTTTTAGGGATTTTTCCCAAATTTTTTTGGGATTTTTTCCCATTTTTTTGGATATTTTTTTGATTTTTTTGGATTTTTTTTCCCATTTTTTTGAAGTTTCTCCGGGTTTTTTTTTAGCCCCTCCCGTCCTTTCCCGATTTTTTGGGGTTTTTTTCCCAAATTTTGGGATTTTTCCAAACTTTTGGGATTTTTCCCGAATTTTTTGGGATTTTTCCCGATTTTTTTTGGATTTTTTTTGGATTTTAATTTTTTCCCATTTTTTTGAAGTTTCTCCCCGTTTTTTTTTTGCTCCTCCCATCCTTTCCTGACTTTTTGGAGGGTTTTTCCCAAATTTTGGGATTTTTCCCGAATTTTTAGGGATTTTTCCCAAATTTTTGGGGATTTTTCCCGATATTTTTTTGGATTATTTTTTTTTTTTTATTATTTTTTTTGGATTTTTTTTCCCATTTTTTTGAAGTTTCTCCCCTTTTTTTTTAGCCCCTCCCGTCCTTTCCCGACTTTTTGGGGTTTTTTTCCCAAATTTTGGGATTTTTCCCAAACTTTGGGGATTTTTCTCAAATTTTTGGGAATTTTGGGGGGAGATTTTGGGAATTTTTGTGGGGATTTTTGGGAATTTTTGGGAGGAGATTTTTGGGAATTTTTGGGGGGAATTTTTTGGGGAATTTTTGGAGGGAGATTTTTGGGAACTTTTTGGGAATTTTGGGAGGAGATTTTTGGGAATTTTTGGGAGGAGATTTTTGGGAATATTTTTGGGAATTCCTGGGAATTTTTTGGAATTTTTGGGGGGGGATTTTTGGGAATTTTTGGGAACTTTTTGGGAATTTTTGGGAATATTTTTTGGGAATTTTTGGGAATTTTTGAGGGAATTTTTGAGGGAATTTTTTTGAA